AACGGTGGAGTTATCATGGCGAGTGATACGGGTCAGCGTTCTGCCAGCGACGCAGAATGAAAATTTACGAGACGTATTCGGATTTATGAGACAACGTATTAGGAACGCTCAGAGGAGATGGAATTTAATGCCGCTGGAACAATGATAATTTCATCTTTTATTGTGGTCAGTGGATGCTCGGGGCTTGTAGTTAAACTCCCGCTCACCTACGGGCACTATTTGAGAGTAAAAAAGTGTAGCGTAGCGTTTTTTTTCGAATGTTGTGCATTAATGTGGTCTGGATAGATGTGGCAACTATATAAAGAATTAAGAACATATATTTTTTAGCACCACATGGGCATGATTCTAACAGCGTTTATTTATATTCAAATGGTTCACTTATTCAAAACAACGTTTTGCATTCCTCAGACCGATCATATTCGATTTATATATTGGCGCTCTCCGTTACACCGACAACGCTCTATTTCTGGCCCATTGTCTGTCGGACAAAACACCTGATATCCGGTTGTTCCAGCTCCCTGACTTCCAGCCAACCGACTGTTTGTTTGTTTGCGTTGGCTGACCTGGTGGTCATGCTGGAGCAAAAATGCGGTGTTTTACCCTCCTGGCGCCGCCGCCCCACGGCTCTGGCGCCCGTGAGACACTGCTGACGTCACACTGGGACAGAGGAGGATCCTGGTGACATGGGTCTGGCACCAGCACCACACTGGCACCGCGACTCGCCGCGGGAGGTTCCGGTCGACCATGAGTTTTAGTTTCTATTTATGTTTGGTTGGCAGTGTCCTCGAGAAGCAGCTTTATATGCACGTTGATATTCATTGCAATACGATGGTACACAGAACCAAGAAACAAAGTCAGCCTTTGCCGATAAGAGAGGGTTTCGACAGCAGCATTGATATCATTCCCCGAAAGTCAATTCGAATGGCGATAGTCAAATAATGGTACCAGAGAGCACTCCTTCAGTGCGATGACTGTCAACTGAGTACTGACAGTCCATATTAAATAGTTGTTCGGCACTGCGGTAGTCGTTCTCAGCCGATAGCCAAAGTCAGCCAGGACCGTCTTTGGCGGATGACTGTGCGGCCGCACCCTGGCAGCTCGACACAGATGTGCACCAAAACGGATTGGCCAAAGATGGCTCAGAATGGTAGCGCTGTTTTTCATGTGGTTCAAAACCCCAGACAAGATTTGTGTTGAGCACAGGCTAGTCAGGGACTTAGTTGACGGCCTGTGGCTTCTCTGGATGCGATTCTGGTTAGGGATTGTGATTTGGAAGGCAAAGTAGCCTTGGCTATATCAAAGCTTGTCATCTTTATTTTATCGTGTTTAGCACAGCTCATAAAGTACAATGAAAATGCTAAATTAAAAGGGAAATGAATTTATTAAATAAAATACTAACATCACTCACCCCGACTTACACATTACACGGGTCAGCAATAAAGCATTTAGCCAACCAAAATGTCAGAACGTAATCACATTACGTTTCGAGTAGGCAGGATAAATGAAGGATAATATATCACATACCACATAAACTCGTATTGAAGTCAGAATGACGTTTTCCTGTCATGCTAGCCACCCACGAGGAGCCATATGGTTGCAACTCTAGCTCCGAAATATTCCGATTCTAACGGTCATTCTGGGAGCATGACATCACCGTCTTCACTGTGGCTTCTAATGCATCCGCTGCCGAATCCGCTGTGGTTTTTAGGCTTCTGATAGAGCTGCACCGAAAATGGACCGTCTTAACTTCCGTCAGAGCACACCGGAAACTAACGACTTCCGGTGAATGGGGAGGGGGAGGAGGAAGAGGAAGATTAGGCCGTGCTAGGTAGAGAAGTCGGAGAAAGAAGAAACATATTTTGTTATTTATTTCTCCGGCGTGACTCATATGGCGTCAAACCTTGCACGCCAGAGCTCATCTTGCAGTAAACATTGGTCAATATGCTATTCAACTACCATGTAAGGCCGAAAACCGCCATGTGACTAGTGAGGCCCGGCACATAAAATCACCAGGCTGACGTTACACTGTCCACGTGGGGAGTCTGGCCGTGTCCGAGCCGCACCGCACACCTGTGCTGGTCTATTTGGAGTGGAACGACAGTGTTTGGGCGGGGCTGGTGTCAGTCATCGATGGATTTCCATCACCCGAGAGGTCTGTACCTGTGGAAGGCACATGCTCAACGCGGGAACTATCGTGTTCATCTCGGCGATCAACAATCACGGGACACCGCAGACAAGGCGTCAGCGTCGCCTGCGTTCTGCTAACTGCTGTAAACCGCGCGAGGACATCTTTTGCTACTGAGAAGTGTTGTCGACCAGACGCTGGGGTAGGCCTCTGTGAGGACATTTATACTGACACTGATATATTTCAGTGGCTGTTACAATGCAGGGTTTGTGCTAGCGGCTACCTTCATCTGAGACTGGTTTTGTCAAAACAGATTTCATTACGAGTATTTATAAATAAAAATCATAAAGCACTACAGAGCGAAAGAGAATCGGTCTATGTTGTACTCGTAACTATACCCTCTTCCTCTGCATGCACTCACACAGTGCCACGCCCCTTCCCAGCACTGAATTGTAGCGTGTAAGGGCCGTGTGATGCGGCTCGCACGCTCGGTGCCCTGAAGACCCCACCATGACACAGGTCACAGTGGCATTCCACCTGCCCCCAGGGGCCAGGCCAAAGTGTTTAGGTCAAATTTACAGGCGCAGAGACAGACGTGGTGCCATCCCGATTAAGGATCCACCACCCGAGATCGGTATCAAGGCGACAAATGACGCAAAATCGACCACTGAAGGCCTCAACTGCCTCGGGTCTGTGTTACAATCGTTATTTCGTGCAACTCGACAATTAACCAAGCGTAATTGCATAGCGTGTGTTTCCCATGGTTGAAATAGTTACTTCAGCGAGCTAAGCCGCTAGCTATGACTTGCAGGGTGCAGTTAGCTCGTAGTTCACGTATGTACCACACTCGTCTTGTGACATGTCTGGTATCTGGTCACGGTCATGGACTGAGGATTCGGTCAGCAGTGCCCGGCTATCGAGGTAGAAAGAAATACCATTCCAAGGAGTCATTGTTCGGTTCGTTTCACGGCCGTTGCTTCGGGCGTGGTTCCGATGTCCGGTGACTAGCCTACTTCAATCTGACCATTGTGTGGTAGGTCAAACGTGGGTGGCATTGGCCAGGTTCACCATAATGAGATTCCTGGATACCTGAATATGACCTTTTAGCGTCGAAATTAGCTGATATGTATTGTGTTTGCCTGAACGGTAGATAGATGACATAAATGGACGGACTATGAATTAACTGGCCATAAATGAATTTTGAAAGATAGCATGACGGTGAATTTAAGAAACTATGACATCCACAACTGACGAGACAGCGGTTTCCTTATTCCAGTATTCTAATTTGGTATCGTCTACTCAGCATTGGCATACTTATGGTGCCCTAAGGGATCACTATAAGTTAGGTGTCTGAATTTAGCTGTATGGACATTTGTCCCATGCGTACCTATTGACTATCTCCCACCCCCACCAAGTCACGTGAGGGCCCAGGTGCCCACCCCACTCCCCGTCCCCTTCCCGACCCACTGAGTCACCATCTACCACGCCCCATTTCAGGTCAATAGTGGTCCCGTCCCCCGTCCTGCCTCCTGCCGCTGAGAGCGCTTCAGTCACTGTCTGGTAAATGGAATAGCGGTTCATGGGAGGACTTATAATTTATATGCCTGTCATTGACGACACCGGAAACAGACGGCCTAGATGAAAATAAATTACAAAACACCGGAGACAAGAGGAAGTTATCGAAACGCAGTGAAAACATATCGAAGACGATACGAGAGCTCGACTCACGCATATGCATCACAGCTAATTCTAGCATAGCTTCCAAGCAAAAACAGTCAGGATCACTCCTGTGTCTGAGTTAGGTATACCGTATTGGTTCGTTCAGTACCACTGTCTTTTACCACCAGAAGCCACCTTATCCGCCCTCTCTGCGTCTCGCTCCAAGACCTATCCTAATTAACTGTGTATACAGTCGGCATACGTCACTGGGGCCCACTACCGGCACCGTATATAGCCGAGTCAGAGTCAGCTCTGATTTATCGTCGATAATTGGTGGACGGCGGCCGGGACCACCCAGCTCCCTCTTCAGGCTCATACTGATGAGGCATACCGGGCTTGCGCTGGGTCACACCCGATGGACGGGACGTTTACGTATGCGCACTGCGTGCAACGCCCGGTGCCGGCAATATGTGCCTGTCAGGGAGACACCGCTCGATAACGGCTATTTGTAAATGTGTCGCGTGTCGCTGGCAAGTAAAACAAGTAGAGGTATTTATCATGTTATTAATTTCAGTTGCAAAACTCGATATTGAGTACCGATGTTACTTTGCATGCCATTCATATAGTAGCATGATTATTGTACATTAGCACGCATAAATTATGTTCCCTATCGTGAATGCAGCTTGTGTGCTTCAATACACAGAACAATCACCTAAATGGATAATTAATTCAGACAAGGCAACTAAAATTTGCTGAACATAACGAAAATCTCATTTGCACCTCAATGAGGATCTAGTCAGTCCCAAAAGGCAGCAGTTCAGATCGACCACGTTTAACGGGAATTGCAATGCTTCACCACGACTCACGAGGAACAAAAATATATATGAAAATGTTCCGCCTTCTCACAAGCTTATTAAAAAAAAAAAACGGGGCACTGTAAGTAAGGTCTTGAACTGACGAGCCATCGCCCATCGCTAGCTTCCTCGATGATTGTCTGAGGCGTGTTAGATAACATGGTGAGTCACCACAGGCCTGCAACGTTATTCGTTAGGGACTGTGTCTGTGACCTCTACTCACTGGTGATTATAACACATGACCAAGGCTCGTCTGCTCATGTTTCTATCCGAATATGTTTCGATGAATTCACATCACACTTCATCGTAGGATGACATCTTATCACAAACACAGCTTCCAAGATAAAATTCATAAGACTTGCCACATTTGGTAGTTGTGTATTCTCGTGAGTCAGTACAAAAACGCACCGCAGTTCAGTTCAACATAAAGCGTGTTACACCAATGTCAGCGTCCCCCCCCCCGGCCCGCTACCGGGCAGTATCTAGTCCCCAGTCTGCTGCCTTTCGATTCCGAATCACAGTATTCACATTGTGAATCGGACTTACCGTGGCAGCATGCATGAATGCAACATCAGGGAAGCCTCTATTTCCCGAGGTTAAGTCACTGAATCGCATCATTTGGGGCATGCACTCAAACAACATGCCTGAGCGCATCCCTCTTAGCAGTGGCTGTCCGTATGATGCTTTGCTTAGCCGACCAATAAAATCACACCAGGGATTCTGGATAGTTCACGCCAGCCAGCACCTCTCGAGCCGGCATAGGTGGCGCTATTGTCGAGCTCCACCAAATCACCTCCGTGACTGCATCGCTGTTTACTTCATACAGATGTCGCGACGGGCGCAACTCGAGCCCGTAGCGTGGCAGTTTCTTTTCAGCACAGTTTATCCCAGAAGACTTTCGTAGTCTTCGTCATCGTCTGAGTCCATGGCGGCACGCCTCCGGTCAAACTATACAAATCGAACAGAACTCGGTCAACGCCTGTAAGCACTAGGAATGCGCCGAGACTGCAATAAAAAACTAAATATTTTGGGCACGGGAAGTCCGATGTCTCAAAAACCAACAGAAGCCTAAATGTTAAACACATCTAATCCATGTAACTTGGTTATTGCTGACTCCATCTTCATATTTCCGATTTTAATGACCATCGGCTAAGTTCAAAATATCCAGGTCGTGGTAAGCTCAACGAACTTCGTCCAGAACACTTCTTCCAACTGCATCAAAGTCACCAAACCATGCACGAACTTACATCCCAGCTCCACCCCACCAAGACACCCTGCCCCCACCCCCACCCATACACTGGTGACCTCACCTTGACCTTAGCCGTCGCCCTGTTTCCGGTCGAGTCGCTGACCCTCTCCAACAGTCCGACGAGCTCCGGCTCGGTGAGACGCTGCTGGATCTGACCCGAACGTGCCATGTTCACCAGCATACCCTCCAGCTGGGCGCCCTTCTCCGGCTTGGCCAGCAAGATTGTGTTCACTGAGGTCACGGGGGGAGGAGATCAGAGGTAAGATTAGTCAGAAGGGTTGATCGGTCCGTGGAGTACGCATCGGCCAACAGCCACAGGGGACTAGTCTGTGGTAAAGTAAACCAAACCAGATGAACCTTACAAAACCGGTTAAATAGTGCTTGGCGGCAGATGGATGAGCTACATAATGTCAGTGACTCAGTACAGAGAACAGCATTTATAGTGAGTAGCTTTCAAAAATCAATCCCTATTTGAATGGCATTGCCATCAATGCTGCTGGAGGTTGAGATGCTGATCAATACTCACGCCTGGCTCGTGCCTTCTGGTCCAACAGGCTGGACAGCATGCTGTTCTTCATCTCTTCCTGCTTGGCCATGGCTTCCTTCTGCTTCTCTGCATTCTGAGCTGCATTTCCCCCTCCAGCCCCCTGCTGAAAGAACAAAGGATTAGAAAAAAATGCTACAACTACATACAACAAACAACAGAAAAGATATTCCATCATCTGTTCAATCCACATATACCTATGTCAGGAAAAAAATGTAATGCATTGCTGCACAAACTTTTTCTCAAATTCTCACACTTACCAGCATGCTTGGATCAATCTCCATCTTGAACTAAGATTGCCACTCTTTGCCAATTTGATACTTTCACCAGCCTGAAATATAAACGAATAAGTCAGGTACCAGCTTTATCGAAGTCCACGTCCACTTGGTATAAGGACATCACACGTAGCTTAACAATAGATGATGTACCAACATTGTACATTAGGTACCTATATCTTGCTACCTGCTTTGTCTGCTGAGCTGTCTCAGCAGCAAGTGAAATAAGCAACTTCATCAAAACAAGACAAAAAAGCAACACAGAAGAAACAGTGAAAACCAGGAAAATGACACAAACTTGAGAGCAAAGCTCATGCAGCCAGTCAGTTGGGCAGCCACACCTTCTGATGAGCCCGACACAATACCAGGAACAAAATGACAACACCAGAAGAATAACACCATTCCAATTTTATGTATGATTGAGAAATGATCACTGAACCCACATTGACACATGCACACACCCAGGCACATAGCCAGGATTTTGCTCAGGGAGGGGCCACAGGTCACGGCCTAGTGTCATAGGTACCCCATCCAAAAAGGAAAGCTCGTTGGATTTGGCCCACTTTTTTAGGTGTGGTGCAGCTGCGGTTTTTAAAAATTTTATTTCATTTTTCGTCCTCAGGAGGGGGCATGGCCCCCTGCCCCCCTTTGGCTATGTTGATGTCCCTGCACACAATGACACTGACACTGGCCCTCATTCATGAAGAAAAACACATTATTCGAGCTTCATGTGCAGTGTGCACAAACAATCTAAGTTCAATTCAGTTCACTTTCTTAGGTATGGATAGGCACTAGGAGATTGAGATAGATAAGAAAACTCTTGAACCTGAGCTTGAAGTAAGTGGTTGATGGCTGATGCTGACTTGGACTTGAAAAACGTTAAATTGATAAAGAGATCCCATCCCACACTTTGGCTTTGGTATTTAAAGCCTAACAAACTTCCCAGTTCCCACACTTCCATAGTGTAGTTGTTCAGTTCAGGGTGTTGAAACTTACAGCCAAATAACTAAAAAAAAATATTAATAATACGGCACTTAGCTATCCTACCTTACTACACGAACTTTCGCCACAATTGTGACACTCGCGCTACAAACGACTTTTGCTTCCATATGGCAGAAACACATTCCCTTCATTGCAGGGAGAATTCATACTTCTTGATATCGCCCAGAGATGGCACTAGTAGTAGGCGCCTGGAGTTATGCTGTGCCGCAATACTCCTCTACATTCGCCAAGCGTTGGAGGCAGGGATGCGGAGCCGTGGATATTTCAGACGGCTCCGGCTCCGGCTCCGGCTCCGGAGAAAAAAATCGGCTCCGGCTCCGGCTCCGGCTCCGGGTGAAATGTTATGGCGGCTCCGGCTCCGGCTCCGGCTCCGAGTAAAATGGTCCGGCTCCGGCGGCTCCGGCTCCGGCGGCTCCGGCTCCGACTCAGTACATCCCCTATGCAATCAATTAAATGCGGGTGGAAGAAAAATTGGATTGGTTATACGCGTTACTCTTGGCCATGACCGGCTCACCGCGTCCCCGCGCAAACGCACCTCGGAGAGAACTGGTAGAACAAAGGACTAGGAAGCGATGGCATTGGAAACGCAGTCGCCGCGAATCGGAGTTCACTGAACCTGCATCATAAGCTGACACCCGTCTCGGCTGCATTGAGGGGTGGGGGGGGGGAGTTGGGGTCGGAAGAGACGGTGCTGGGAGTCGCAGTCCACTGCACTGGCTTCAAAACAATGGCCGTCACCTGATGACCGGTCCTCATGTTCTGGGGATGCAGTAGACGTGTGGGGGGGGGGGAGGAGCAGACAGGAAGTTGATTGTGGGATACTGGGGATATTCGGCTTTTTTCATTCACTTGATGGCCCATGACAGTACCATATGTTATACTGCCTTGTACTGTCAAACCGAACTAGGTCAATTATTTTTTCCTCTTCAAAAAATAAAAAAGAGCCGGAGTCGCCCCCTTTTTTGGCGGCTCCGGCTCCGGCTCCGGCTCCGGGCTATATTGTTTCACGGCTCCGGCTCCGGCTCCGGCTCCGGGCAAAATATGCCGGCTCCGGCGGCTCCGGCTCCGACTCCGGCTCCGGCTCCGCATCCCTGGTGGAGGTTGTTGACGCCGAGTATGTTGTCCTGTAGCGGACGAACCACGAATGCCGAGTCGAGTCTGTTACGAGTCCGGTATCACGGATTTGAGTCGAAACTACAAATATGAAGCCTGAAGCCGGGTCAGGCTATATTTTTCTCATGTCACAAGTCAGGCAAATTCATGGCGAGCAAAGTCCACGCTTGTCACTTGCCAGTTATATAGAGCATAAAATATGAGGTAAAAACTACATTCCCAAGTCCGCCGAGCTAGACCAATGTACGCTAATGTCGATTTAGTCAAATGTGGGAGCACCGGATATTCTTTCGGACCAGGGTGTGTATGCGAAATCCGAGCGGCAGCCGGAGTTAGATCCGTCGGCCAGCACGCATCGCCCGTAGCTGCAAATTTTGCTTGAAGCCGGTGCCGAAGCTGCCAAAATGCGTAGCTCAAAGCGTGACAGGATAAGGCAGGTAGTCATCAGCAACTCTATTTAGATGGTAACTGCTGAATGTTTGTCACAAATATCTGTTTGATCCCGATTTCCATCTAGCATTTCATGGACCGCTGACTTCTGTCGCTGCTATGTCTGCGACAGATCCGCAAAAAATACATACGGTAGGGTGTGCCTGCTTGCAGTTGTGTACGCTAAAAGATGTAAAAGGTTAGCATATTATAGTTTGACAGACAGCATTACTTTGATGTGTAATTATTTTTGTGGTTGATTGATTCTGAAGGAGAGAGAGAGAGAGAGAGAGAGAGAGAGAGAGAGAGAGAGAGAGAGAGAGAGAGAGAGAGAGAGAGAGGGAGAGAGGGAGAGCGAGAGAAAGAGAGAGAGGGAGGGAGAGAGGGGGAGGGAGAGAGGGAGAGAGAGAAAGAGAGACAGACAGACAGACAGACAGGCAGGCAGACAGACAGACAGACAGACAGACAGACAGACAGTCAGACAGACAGACAGACAGCAAATTAGAATAGAGGCTCATGAAGTTATAAAATCCGCGAAGAGGTTCATAGTGGAACCACATTGTTATGCCCTCTCGGTAACCTCAACAACAAAGTCAAAAAGATAACAGGTTCAACTAAGATAAAATGATGAATAATTATATACTCTTCGTACGACCAACGAAGATCGTCCCGATTCTCGATTGAAAATTAAGGAGCACCTACGTTCCTCTCATTTAGTAAACGCTATCATCGACATTCGACACCTTCGGGATCATAGCACTCAGCTCACCGATGAAATTCGATCGCTCTCTCGCTCCGGTCGGAGCAGAGGAGCGCGAGGGTCAGGGGCGGTGCGCGCCGGCCCAGTCGCTGGGGGGCGGTGTTGGACTCTCGGAGGGAGCTCAGTCGGCGTGCGGTGGTCGTCGCGTGAGGTCGACGACGTGATCTTTCTCGTGGTGGCATTGCGAGTGACCACGACTTGCGAAGTCATGTCTCAGTGTGTATGCGTGAGAAAGTGTGTGTTTTCGGCAGCTGTGTCTATCTCAGTGTAGCGTCGCGTCTTGGAAGCGATCAGACGCGGTGTTTCTTTCGGGGTTTCTCTCGGTGCTGGCGTAACTGCGGTGTCCGTGGTGAGGTGCCGGGACGTAGTCACCCTACTGGCTGTGTTCTCCTCTCATATTACCATGGAAACCAGGCGACGATGGGGTCAGTGCAACGGGAGCTCGTGTCAAAGGACAGGGGAAGCGGCGGCGGCTGCCGCGGCTGACCCTGATAGTATCGAGTTGACCTGCGTGCCGCCGCTGCCACAGGACCTGGAGCAACACATCAGGGAGTGTCAGTGCTCATGTGATCACCTAGGCTTCGGAAACTTCAAGGTAGGAATGGGGATACACTGGCCTATGTAGGGGAGGGACAATAAATTAATTATGCGATATGGGTAATTTCTGAACTTGATATGAAAATGCCTAATTGCCTATAACTTGACTTGTCTATGCACGGGCGGAACAGTAACTTAAATTTAGCCATGTGGGTGATTGGTGAACTCGATAAGAAAAATCCATCCATTAAACATTAGTTTATGCGGGCACAACATGGGCAAGTGCAAGTGCCTGCCACCACTTTATTCATGACGATTAGCTCATGGCTGACGACTTTGCGAGCACATGCAAACGTAGTCAAACATCTTTTTTTCAGTCAAGCCATATTTCAAGCCCTGAGCGTCAAACTGTTCCAGATCAACTACTCTGGAAAGTAATAATTTGTGTTGAGTAACTTAGAAGCCTGCGTATACTCGCAGTTAGTTTTTTTTTTCTAATACGCCTAAATAGGCATGTGATTTGCGTCTAGCCGGTGGATGAATGTGTCAGGTGATAACCACATCCTATCTTTTGTATTCTCAAATTTTAAAAAGGGAGTCTCACGCTAAATAAGCACGTTTATCACGCTTGTGGTTACGAGCGAGCGAGCGCAGCGAGCGAAGCGAAGTCATTTCAATATAACGGAAAAATCTCAGTATGAGCGGCCCGGCCCGGCCCGGCCCGGCCCGGCCCGGCCCGGCCCGGCCTGTAACGCTTTTGAGAGGCTTATATCTCAGCAACCGCTGGACCGATTGGCCTGCGGTCTTTTTTGCTGGGTAGCCCCATCCCTTCTACCCCGTAATTGACTACTTTTGATACATCTCAGTGACCGTCGTGGCACGTGCCACGTGAAAAGTCAAGGGTGTTCAAGCAGTTTTGCAAAAGTAGTGATTTTGAGAGGCCCATATCTCACGCGGCTTGAACGATTGACTTGCGGTAAATTTTATAGGGTAGCTGCACCCCTTCTACCAAAGGTCGGATACTCTTGATCTATGTGAGTGACCCCCAGTGCACGTGCAAAATACAACAATAAGAGGTGCCAAATTTGTTCCCATTTCAGTAACTCGGTAATTACTGGGGCGATTTCGCTGAAACTTGGCATACAGGTAGGCAACCACCAGGCAATGCATTCCCATGTGTTGCGGTTAGGGGCTACTGCACGTGCGCACGTGCAGGGGGCGTTTCCAGATCTCGAGAACGGCTGGGCCGATTGCGCTCAAATTTGGTACACGGTTGGGGACCGGTTAGTAGGGTGCCGTGCAAAAGTCAGTTTGGACCCCGTTTGCACGTGCGCACGTGCAGAATGCCGCTTCCAGATCTCAGGAACGGCTGGGCCGATTGCGTTCAAATTTGGCACACCGCTAGCGACCGGTTAGAAGGGTGCTTTGCACAAGCCCGTTGGAAGTACCCTCTCGCCCTTCCGCACGTGCAGGGCTCACTATCTCGCTCGCTCGTTCTTCGCCCAAAAGGCGTTTTACTGGTTGGATAACAGCATAAAAGCGGACATTCTAATGCATGTGACATACGGCCTTGCATGTGACGTTAGCTTCTCCTCAGTTATACTCGTACAATAAATGTTTACTGGATTCAGTGTAAAGATATTTTCAAATAGGACAATACGGCAAAAACATTAGAAACTGCATCAAGAACAACCTTTTGCATCTTTCACCATTTTCCTGAGAACAATACTGGCAAATTGATATCACCCAGGGGCACGAGTTCGCATTCTAACTTGAATCTTAATAACGAAGCAAGGATTTCTAATTCTAATTAGCGGGCGCGACTCCGACTGAAATTACCATAGCCTTTAGCGCCGAGACGCAACGCTATTTTGAGGCGAATACGGTGAATAGGAATGCAAGTCATAACATTCATTCAGCCATTGCACTCGAGCTTCTCACCAATTGGCAACCCGCTGCAAGAAGAGGCAAGCCGAGGTAATTAAAATGTAAAACCGAAATATTACATCCATGGCGTGGGCTTAAACTTGTAATTATCTATCCTTTTATTCCAGTCTGTAGTAATAAATCTCCAGCTGCGCTCTGGCAAAGCTGCCAGTAAAACTCGGCAACAACAATAAATTTCGGCCGGCGGTACCACGGTGTGACATGTGTCGGGAATTCCCAGCCACTCATTTTGCCCAGAAAAGCTGACGGCTGCTCAACGGACTGAAAAATAGCGTGACTTGTTCATGCCTCAGCTATACTGATGTCGTTTGATTCAATTTGTGGTTTAAAATTCAGCCTGCGGTAAAGCTGAATCGAGAAGCAAATGAAAAATGTTTGTTGCTGGTTCAGCAGATATCTAAAATTAGCTGTGCTAGCTAAATGCACAAGGGGTAAATTTGATGGCAGCATAATGGCATCCGTGACGTCTTTGACCCGCTGGTAACGTCGCGAATAGTGTCTTATCACGAGTGTCTGAGGAAAATATAAAAGCCATTTAAAAATAAGTTATTATGTCGTACCTGATAATCTTTGTCCCACAGTTTTGTGAAATGATGTAGCTCTAATGAATGCCTCCATAGTACCCGACCGGTACTCAACAGGTCCAGCCTCTACTACTGAGGCATACAAAATTAAACGGAATGATGAAACCTTATAAGTTAGATTATTAAGAATGAGTGGATACTCGTAAGTTGACAGAACCCTCTATAAAGCCTGAAACAGACTCTTTCCGCAGTCAGGAAATCGCATGCGAGAGCCTATTCAAATACATGGAAGCACGCTCGCATCAATCACACGCACCTCCCGCAAGCGATTGATGCGAGAAGAATTATAATGTATTTGAATAGGCTCTCGCATGCGATTTCCTGAACGCGGAAAGAGTCTGTTTCAGCCTTAAGACAGCAAGCCAACCAATGTTTCTCTTTCTTCAAAACTCAAAACATACGGAAGTACACTAGGTATCACTTTTGGCATCGTTACACACTACACAATGAATCGGTGAAACACATTACTTTTTTAGCAAATATTTCACTTCTTATACCCACCTTAATTTATTCCATGAAGAATAATTAATCAAAACTTTCATTGCACCCTTCCCACAGCCACGATAAACGCATTGTGAAATTATCAATCTTTATGCGTGAAAAATAGATTTTCACGTCATAAACTAATGGTTCAGTCTTACTGCGAGTAGGCGCCAGTTAGCGGCGATGGCGTACTTTTGACTCGATTTTGTGAATGAATAGCAGTCTTTGAAGATCAGCAAGCCTGTAATGTCGCCGAACTTTGTTTCAAAATTACCAAATACCTACGATATGTTCTTGTTCGGTCCCTCGCTTGATCGATGAAAAGAAAAGAAAAACAAGCTTTGGTAACAACTACTATTCACTCAGTGCCTCATTTGTCTGGTTCTTTTTGCAGATGACATATGTAGCGATCATGAGAGGAAAAACTATTTAATTACCCACATCAATAAGGACTCATAACGCTTTAAAATGTTACTATTTACGTCAAACACTATTTCCTTACATCCATCAAGCCCTTGCTCCGTGCGGTGTCTACAGGCGAGTCTATGGAGTTTCGTTTCGACGGGATTTTCAATCTCACCATTTTCTCGTCAAGTCGGCTCGATCTGTCGGATTGGCAGTTTTTATTCCGCGACTGTGTGTCGACTCAAAGAGAAATGATTTATGCTGAGAGCTCGCGAGACGCGCGTGATAAGACGGCCAAAATTTTGCACGAGTGCTCTCAGTCACATTGAACGATGTTCGGGAGCATTTATTGGATGTTGCTCTGATACAGCATGCTTCTCGCTTAAAATTTTCCATCGATACAGCGATGTTTAGATTTAGTAGGATTACAATATTGAAAAGAAAAAAAAACACTGATAAAAATTATGACTTATAAAATGGTATTTCAAGACGGAGACAACCCTGTACCTACTTTATTAGAAATCTATCCTGTACATATTGTTTGCTTTCCATAGCTCAGCTAACAACGATAACAAATCATATTTAGGCGGTTGCTTGTGTTTGTGTGAAACAAAATGCAGTGAGCCTAGTGAAATACCTTCTAATTCCTTACATCGATAATGAGTCACTGTTTTGAAAACCATAAAGTTTTAACAAAAATGCCCTATACATTAATATGTGCCCCTATGCCATACACATGTAGCAAAGTACGAGTGCAGAGTAATTCTCTCATCCAAAACACCACTCATTTTCAATTCCGCATTTCCAATCACTTCCTCCTCGTGCAATCCAGGCAGCGCAGTGGAGCGCTGGGCTGGGCCACTCCCAGATCAATAGGAATACTCCCTCCTACATACTGTATATAAGCGGAGCGGCTCTAGGGCCGCGGCCGCCACCGGTGCCTTCGAGGAGATGTAAAAACCCAACTGCCAGCATAGATCGCGACCTAAATCCGGGGCCGGGCCGGCCTGCCGTCGTAAGTCGCCGCGCCCGAGTGCAGACCGTCTCGGTCGAGCGGCCGGCGGTCGGTCCCGCTCTGCACGTGGCCAGGAATTTGGACTGCGGGGCACGCAGCCGTTTGACCAGAGGTTGGTTTATAGGTCAACTCTGAATGGATTGTCGTCAAACTTGAATTGATGGGTGTGTTATGTTCATACTTCGCGCTGAGACGTTAGAACCTCGTTTAGCGGCAGGGTGGCTCGCTTTTTGCCCATCTCACCGGACCTCTCACGGCTCGCTGATGGGCTAATCCTGATCACTGTGATCAGCTCTTCGGCCGGAGCTCGGCTGAGCTCTCTCAGCTCCTGTGCTTTTTGTCGGCGTCCGCTGTGAGCTGCTAATGACGCCAATTGGGCGACGATCGGAAGTTGCGATAGAGGAAATTTGGAGCTGTGCAGCTCCCTGCCCGCCGTACGCTGACGCATAACGAGCGACCGACGATTCCGATGGGGTTAATTGAAGCGTGACAAAGCTGTTGGCGAGGTGCCTAATGGGGAGTTTATAATGAGGCCGGGGGCAAGGTTGCCTAAATAATGCAGTGATGTGCTGTGGTAGAATAAGCAATGTGCTGCGTTGATGAGGCGGTTTGGTATCTTGCCGT